TGATTGTACGGCAAGAAGATTAAACCTTCTTGATGAACTAAGAAATCTTTTGGAAATATATGAGAACCTGTCAAACACAGTTTTCTGGCTGGATATTTAGCTATGGAAAACCAGAATTCTGGACTTTAAGAACAAATATTTGACACCCAGCAAATTCATACATTTTGAAATAAATTCGGTAGGAGTTATACCATGATTTATAAAGAAAGAAGCTATAAAGAAAAGAGAGGCAAGTAAGGTTGAGGGCTAGAGGGAAAATGAAATAATAAAATGGCAAAGAAAGAAAGAAGAGAAATTTAGGAAGAAGTTTTATAATGTGCTAGCTAGGAGAATACTTTTCTCCTCTTTTACTTAATTCTGAGTGAAGACTTTTGTTCTGTTACTCAAAGATAAAATCTAAAAATAAACCTGGTGTTATTGCTGGCAGTGTTGCAGGACATGTAATTTTTTGTATATACATTACTGTGGAGTGAGCTAAGAAACACAATATATTGAGTCTTAAAATTGCCATTAATGCATTGCCTGCTCAGGCAATAATTTTTCTATGATCTCATTTTTTCTTAACTGATCTTATCCTTCCTTTTTGCTTAAATTGTCCTACACTATAACAAAAACCTCTTCATGGAGCTAATACTTACTTGTTATAAATTACTTTTTCAATGTCGTAACTTTGCTGCAGTATTTACCAAATTGAGGTAATTTCCTTTTGCTTTGCATACAGCAATAGCCTCCTTTAACATTTATCCGTTCTCATGTATTAGGATAAAGACCTACATAACCAAAGAAGTAATATCCAGGTTTAAAAAAAAAGTATTAAGGAGTCATGAAGATGTAGGACAACAACAGAAAAGAAATAACTCCTTTCTAAACAACCAATCTTTTCAAGGGAGCTGGCTTGCAAAAACTTTTGAAAAATCACCATCTAAAACGTGGGTCCTTTGAATGTGTTCGGTTTGAACATCCCAAAATGGAAATGTTTGAGGAAATTAAACAGTGCCAGGGGACATTCTTGGGCATTGGGACTCCACCATTATTGTTGCTGTTACATCGCCGGAGCTGTCTGTGACCCGCAGTGATTAATTAGCACTCCCCAAAGGATCCCCGTGCGTGGCTCAGAGGCTGCGGGGGCACAGGGATTATTCCCGGTAGGCAGCTCGCGTACAGCCGCTATTTTCGCAGGAGGGTGTTCAGCGCTGCGGATGCCCGCCGGCTGGCCTCTGAGCTGAGCTGGTATCTGGGGCCGCTCGCTGGCACCGAGACCAGCGGTGTGAAACGTCCTGCTTCTGTGCTGCTGAACGCCCCGCGCTGCTCGTCAGGACGGACCCCGCCTCGTGCTCCTCCCCACGTCACGCCTGAGGAGTGTTTGAGAAAATGCTCGTTGTCCCAGGACAAACACCACCGGGAACTGTTCTAATGATTCAGCAGCCTAGCGGAGTCGATTCCAATGCCCAGGAAAACTGCCTGGCGCTGCTTTAGTTATAGTAAGGCAATGTGACATCGGTTAGAAATAAGCCGAGAGGGGGGTGCAAACACGCTGGTGGGTGAGCAAAGTCAAAGCAGTGTGAGCTTCGTCAAAGCCAAAGCAGGGGCTCAGGCCTGAGCATAATTTGCTTTGAGAAAGGAGTGGAAGGAAACTTGCAGGGATCAGAGAAAATAATTTAACGGAATTTTCAGCTTTAGAGGAAATTAAGATGCTCATTGTGAAATATTCTTTTAAGCTTCATTTTATGTATCTCTCGGTAATTGGAGCCCAGCTGGATTCTTCCAAGTAGAATTGAAATTTCCTTGCACTGTTAGTTTTGCAAAGGTGGCATAACTGTAACTGTCATTTACAGACAAACTGGATATTGAGTGGAGGAGGAGAACATATTTACTGTTGACTTGACCTTTCCTTCCCTTGCTTTGTCTGTCCTTGTCTTGCCTCTTCTGGTCTTGCCTTTGGATAATACAACTCACACTGAGGGTTTTTTTAACTTTTGTGTTGGCAATACAAAACCTCTGCTGACTTAGAAGCAGGTTTACGGATGAGTAGCTCTTTTCAATGAATGTGTCGCTTTCCATAAGAAGAGTGGAAGGGAATTACTTTTGGGTACGAGGATGTTTGCCAAAGTTGTGAGAAAGTTCCCTGTTTAAAATGAGAGCTGGTGAGAGGAAGAGGTTACAGCTTACAGGATAAGGGCAAAAAAAGCATGCAACTGCTAAAAAGGTATCACTGAAAGTTTATCTGAGGGGATGAGTGTTCGGATCTGTTAGTCATTACTGATTGCCACTCCTCAAAATACCACCCAGCTGGAGTTTTGCTTCGTGAAAGAGTTACGTTTTATTTTTCATGGAGCCCATCTCAGCTAAGTCAACTTCAATAATTACAAGGTTGATAAAAATCCCCACCAAGTCAGAAGACAAAGATTTTAAATACATTTTAATTTGGAAATGTTCGGCATTTCTATAGATGTCATTTTTCCAGTGAAAGTAGTTTTGAAATATACTGTATTGCATTCAGACTGATAGATTTTTCTTAAGTAATTTAGCATAATGGGGTGTGTTTCTGGTAGCACTGTCCACTAACGCCGTCCAGGTTTTTTCCCACCAAGATTCATGCCTGACTTCAAAATACATAGTTGAGTCTCTTCAGACTGGCATCCAAATCTTTATATCCAAATTAAAAGGATTCAACACCATGGCTCTAGTTTTGACTTGTTTTAAGGGAGATAAAATAGCAGTCATTTTACCCTTCTGCCTCCTTATATACACACGTATCCTTAGCCTTTTTTCTGTAATTATCTTTCTTTCCCCTTGCTCTGCTCCCCACAAACCGTATCTTGGCATTATCTTTGTATTACAAACATGCTGGAATAGTTCATGTTCTAGTAGTAAAAATCATTAATAATTAGACATGCCACTAAGACAATAAGACGGAAAATAGTTAATATGTGAGCGTATCTGTATCCCATTAGAACTGGAATTTTGTTTCTGCTCAATTTGGCTTGCATTCAACATCCTCTGATTTTGAAAGAATAAGCAACTCAAGCATATTCCTACGCTTATGAATAAAACCATACTGTAGACTGCACATGAATAAATCCAGGCAGTCATTTTTATTGTTATCAAAGAGCAGTTTCATTCTGTGCCCACAAATGTTCTTGGTAATCTGTGAAAGAGGCCTCTGAGTTAAGAAGTAAAAAGAGGCATCTTTCTCACCCCTTGCCTTGGCAGAAGTACATGATCAGCATTCATCAGCAGTCACAAGTGAACTCATGTAAAGGCTTGTCTACAGACAGATGTTTTTCCAACTGAGTCTTTCATTGGCCCACTTGTACTTGTGCAGTGTGACATGACCTTTAATTATACAGTCAAATACTACTTTTCTACCGAGCATTGGCCTCATTCAGTGTATAAGATGGATGAGAGTGCACTGGGAATTGAGTTGGGTTGGGCAATAAGGGAGATTACTGATTAGGGGTACCTCAACTTAGTGAGATGAGGATGCCACTGCAGTTTGATGAGCATTCTTGCCACCTTTAATCTTTCAAGCCAGGCAGACAAACGGGCAACTAGCTACCTCACAGGTTTATCCATAGCCACAGGAATTTAAGAACATGAACAGACACACTGATTGAAGCCGTGGGTCTGTGTAAGCCAGTGTTCTCTGACAGCAGTCAAAAGTGGTTGCACATGAAGAAGTTTAAGGACAAGACAGTACTACCTGCCGGTGTTCTCCCAACTGCCCCTAATCTGGAGGGGTCTTTAATGTAAACATCAAACTTCAGTTGATTTCTCTTCACCGGCATCCCATTAAGCCCTTTAAAGTCCTTTTAATCTTTTGCCATATGCTGCCTTCCGTGGCAAGGCTCGTGGCTCACCTCCCCCTGCTCGCCTTAAGCCTGCCATGTGCTGGCTTTCTGTGAATGGTTAGTCCCTATCCGTTCTCATCATGCAACTCATGCATATGAATCTCGTATTCTTTCCAGAAAAAAAGGATGCTGAGCAGAAGCCAGAGGATGCATACGCAGAGTCCCAGAAAGCTGGTAGCATGCCCAGAAGGCAGCCAGCCTTCACTTCTGCTGTTATCCATGATAGCTTGGCCCACCCGCCTGCGCGGTTGTCAGATATAGACATACCCTGTGGTATTTCTGCTTCAGTGGCTCTTGGAAAAAAAGACTGTTGATGGCTGAAACAGAAGATTTCAGGAAGTCCATGAGTGGTCTTTTGGCCAAGTTGAGTGCCACTGTACACAACAGGGTTTTCTCTCTGATGAAGCCACAGAATTTCTGTGTGATGCTGAGCTAGTCCAATGGATGAGACTTCTCCCAGATGGCCATTAATTATGCGTTTGAAATCATGAGGTTTGATTTGCAGAAGTGCTGAGCACTCACAGCTGCAGTTGACGTCATTGGGAGCTGTGCTTTGTGCATGCAAAGAGCTGCTTAATGCCAAGTTCCCTGAAAAATCAGTCCCTTCACGACTCGTATCGGTCACTGCGATTAACAGATGCTTTTGACCTGAATTTCTTTGTGTTCTGTTTCCCTGTTTGTAATGGAGAACTGATACCACCCTGCCTCATCGGAGTGTTAGATTTCTAGATTCTCAGACACCACCACAAAAAGCATCACGGTGGACCCCACTCGAACGGTAACTATGTAATCCAGAGGGGATTTCCATCCTGAGTGGCATATGAGGTCAAAATCTCAACAACAATGACAAAACAAGGTACGGCACAAATATCTACCCATTCCACTGCCATTAGCCGTTCTGGGCACTGATCAGACAAAAAAAAATAAAATATATATACACTGATCATGTAACAGGCAGCTTTTGTTACCACAGGCCAAATTTATACTGTGCGAGTAGCCTTAGTTCTGGCATCTCTTATTTTTCCTGTATTTTCCCAGCACTTGTCAGGATGCTTGTTTAGACAGCATGTTTGAGACCTCAGGTCAGACTGAACTGATTTGCATTTTGAAATTCCTGTAAAGAATTTTTGTTTGCATTTTGCCTTCCAGAAAATACTTGCAACGACAAACGTCTGGACCTTGTCTTCATCATTGACAGCTCTCGCAGCGTACGTCCTTACGACTTTGAAAAAGTGAAGGAGTTCATTTTAACCATCTTGCAGTTTCTGGACATCAATCCTGATGCCACCCGAGTAGGTCTGATTCAGTACGGCAGCACAGTCAAACATGAGTTCTCGCTGAAGACATTCAGGAGGAAGCAGGATATTGAAAGAGCAGTGAAGAGGATGATGCACCTGGCAACTGGCACCATGACTGGACTGGCTATTCAGTACGCAGTGAACATCGCATTTTCAGAGTCAGAAGGAGCGCGGCCTCTGAAGCAGAATGTGCCCCGAATTATCATGATAGTGACGGATGGGAGACCTCAGGATCCGGTGGCAGAGATTGCTGCTAAAGCTCGTAACTCGGGTATCCTGATTTTTGCCATTGGAGTGGGAAGAGTAGATATGAACACGCTGAAGTCCATTGGGAGTGAACCGCATGAAGAGCATGTGTTTCTGGTTGCTAATTTCAGTCAGATTGAAACACTGACCTCTGCCTTCCAGACTAAACTTTGTGGTAAGATAAAATTTTATCTATACATTTGAATGCACAGATGAAAGAAAACATAGAAAAAAACCATGCATTATCATTAAACTTTGTTTTCTCACATGGAAACTTAATCTGTTAGCATATATACGTTAAAAAAAGGGAGACTAGCCAGCCAACATTCACAACAGCAGTCATACATATGTGGAAAAACTAATTCTACTGCTGAGTGCCATAAAATGTGATCTAATTCCTAGTGGTCATAAGCAGTGAGGCAAACACACATATCATGATTTTCCTATTCATTGCATAATAGCAATAAATTTACAACCCTCTGCTATTTGAATATTAGATAAGTTCTTTCATCTATTGATTTTAAATGTGATCTTCCTTAGTACTGAAACTTCAAACTGGTAAACAGTCTTGGTTATTTAAAAAATTCTGTGGAGTTCATGGATTTCTCTTCCAAAGCTTACACATTAATTCTATGCAAACAATTATTTTTGTGCATACTTTGTCATTGTAAGCAAGACACAGAGACATGGTATTGTTTTTATTCCATCCATTTTAAATACAGAAAGGTAGAAAAAGCCATTACAGTGATATTATTTATTCATACAATAAAGTAAATAACATTTTAATAGGTATTGATTTACAACAGAGAAATCGCTTCCATCTGTAACTCTCTGATAAACAATTACCTTTTACAAATATCATGGCATGTGAAATTTGTTTTATTCCAATCTGTGTACTTATTATAATTTTCTTCATTAGTTTTTCCTGAGATAAACGTGAAAGATCTTCATACAGATTTGGCATTAAGCTAAGGCATTTTCCACAAAGTCCAGAAAAAGAATGCATGGTGAGATTGAATCCTCACTCATCTCTAGGGATGCTTTTGCCAGAAGAGAACTGGGGCTTATTGTCAGGATAGTCTGGAGAATGTTGCTTACTTGGTCTTTTCCAAAATTGTTTCAAAGAGCAACAGGGCTCCAGCTGAACTGCATCAGCACAAAACACCATCACAGACATTCATCAGATGATAACAGATTTTTTCCTGTTTCTTCCTTGCCGTATTATTAGCTGGTGTAGTAGGATAGGTTTAAAAACCAACAGTAAACTAAACATGGATTGAGAGTTTAAATGAAATGAAGAGCAAATGCTGCAAAAATTCATCTTACTGGATTTTTTTATTTGCAGTTTAGAAACAAATCCAATACAAATACCACTTACTCGTTTTTTTCTGACTAGGCAGTATCCAGTAAATGTGTTAACCTCACTTTTATCCAAATACACGTGATCCTCAATAAAACCATCCTCCCTGCAGATGGAGGAGTATGGAGGTGACAAGGATTGCTGCTGCCTCCTTTTCTCAGGGAATGCCTCCACAACATTTGCTGTGTCAGGAATTGAAGGTGAGATCCAAAAACACACTTAGGAACCCAAGGCCCATATGCAACAGAGAATTTAATCTGTTAGATTCTTACGGATTTCAACTTAAGGGACTAAATCGTGGATAGGATCCTTAATGTTTTATTGACTCTGGGCTGTGAAGCAGTGTTCAGCTTGCTGAATTTCAAGGGAGCGGTCTAAGCATCTCACAGCCTCTGCTCTCTAGAGCATCTACGTTCTTCCCACGGAGTGCGATTAGTTTTTTTAAAGTCCTCCCCAGTGTGGACCCCGAGGCAATATCATTGTAGCCAAGTCGAACATCTGAACACCTTGTTTCTTTGCTAGAGCAATTCAAGGTACCCCTCTGTTTAAGTCCTGGCTTGTAGTCTGCTGGGCTTCAAGCTGTGGGAAAAGACCTTGGCACCTGAGCTGCCCTTGTCTCTGGATTGCCTTCATGTCTGTGGGAACGTGCCTCCATGGTTCCTGTGGAGATAAGAGAAGAACCTGGCCGAGTGATGAAGCTCTGGGGGGGAAATAAAAAGTAAACTGAATTAACCACTGTGGACCCATGGATGGCAGAGATTACCCAGTGCCTAGCATCTATATTCTCAGAAGAATCCATATAAACTGTGTTCCATCCCCTGCTACGTCAGACTTCCCTTACAATTGCTGCCTCTGGCTGCTTTGGGGGTGTCCAAAACAGCAGGTGAAGCCAGGGGGATCCCAGGGGCCTCTTTTTATTACCAGTCAGCAAGGTAAAAGAGAAGCAAACAGTATCCTGGGAAATGAGAGGCATGAGGAGTGAGACAAGAGTTGAGAACTCAGAAGGGAAACAGAAATGGGGACAGAATGCAGGAAAAGAGGTGGAGATGGACTAGAAGAAGAGTGAGAAAGGCAGAAGTTGGGATGTAGCAGTCAGGAGCAAAAAAAATCTTAATTATTATCCTGTAAAGTGGGTAGTGGTGTCATCCCCATTTTACATTGGAGGAACAGAGGCACAGAAACGGGGTTCAGACTATCAAGATCATGCACTAATTTTAAATATTTGACTCATTGCAATCCCTGGTCTGATTTTCTGGGACATTTAGCATTTTTAGACTTATATAACGTAACAGTCACAGCTCTACAGCCTTCACTTACAGCTGAGAGAGTGCTGCGTTCTTGCAAATCCAAATTCAAGTGTGTCTAGCTTCACAGTGTGAAGGTTGATGCTTGCTTGAAGATACTGATATCGGCTTGCCCCAAATCAAATCACCCTGTGACATAGACTGAGATAAAATCTAATTCACAAGGCTCACATTCAAATTCCTTAACTATGAGATCACCCTTTCTATTACTTCAGTCCCTGGCTGTGTCCACTGAACACCTCCTGAGACAAATGAGGTTGCAGAAATCATACAGACAGCAACCTCTTTCACCACAGAAATCTGACTGATGTCCAGAGTACCACTGATTCTTTGAAATGGGTGCAACAGAGATGCTTTGGAAAAAATTTTGTGTTATAGTATATCAGAAGATCGGTAACAGATGGTAACAGTACATTCTTAGAAAGGACTGAGTTATTGGGATGCTTGTCACTGAATGCTTCATTTTTCTTTTTTTTTTTTTCCATTTTTTAGTATTCTTTTGCAACCTTATGTTCTTTTGATATGGGAGGACAGACTGTTTTGGAGTAATGTTATATAGATTCCATTCTATAGCATTAGTAATTTAAATTAGATTTTCTGACAATTAAACTACTTAAATTAGTATATTTTTCATTTGTCATATTTGAAAGTGCTTCTTTGGTCATAACAAGCTATACCTGATGTTGAAAGCTAGTGAAATATAGCCAGGAGGAAACTTCTGCTTATAAAGTATCAGAGGTCATAAACTTCATTTTCAGAATGACAGAAAGATGAAAAGACAAGAAGTCCAAGCAGGTCTGTATTCACATAAATGAAAGGACTTGAGAAGTTTTATTAAGGCAGAAAATTATGAGATCCAAAAAGCTGATTAAGAGATTTGGGAATTGTGGTGGTTTCTATGTTAGTAATAAATGCATAACTCTGGTAACCATTCCAAACACCAGAGAAATAGTATGTAACTCAAAACCACTTTTTTTTTCCACAAGTACCACACATACCACATGTTAAGTTACTTATCAGGCTTCTGTTGTGGCTGCTAGAAGAAGTTTACTGTTAATATCTATTCCATAAATTTTGAGCTTTGTTGACCTAGCACAATAAGGACCACATCACTCCCTAATTGTTGTTGAGCAAAATAGATTATTTTCCACATAATGTTCTCTGACAAGTAATTCACCTATATATTATAGAAATCACATACAAGCAATGCTCCAGTGGAAAAAAAAAAAAAACATCAAGGAGATTTCTTAATTCCCAAATACTGATCTGGAGAAAAATAGTTCAGCAATTAATTTGACAGAATGGGCCCACTATTCTTTTTCTTTCTTACTGTCTCAATCTGTTGCATTTTACTGCTTGCTATTAGAGACACAAAATACAGATTAAAAATAGACTCAGAAAGACTTACACTCTGGAGTGTAGCTCAGCTTAGCTCCCACTTACTGAATCTTGGAGATGCATGACCTCAGTGTCGTCACATATTGCTTGTATGTTCCTCAACGTTAATAACAAAGCAAGCAAGTTGTTTTCTAGTCATTCTTCTTTACTATTGTGCTGTGTGGTGATTTTCTTCATTCAAGAAATTGAATGTTCTCTAGAACAGTTTGTACTTAAATTCCACTTGTTTTCAAAATTTGAATGTGGTAGGTTTGTTTGATTGTCTTCCCGGGACCACCAAGTAATCAGTGTTTCCAGATACTCTATTATATATTTTTATTTTGTTTATATCTCCATTCCACATGTAATTTCATGTCCAAAAACATGCCACCGATGTCAACCAGACAGAAACTATCTAAATTTCTACTTTTTTTAGGAATAAATACATAGTACTGTTTGTTAAGGATTTTTTTATAGTCTTATAGGCTTAAGCTTCCATTATTGTCTTTACTGTCAACACTTAATTTGAAATTTCTAGATTATTTCAATAAAATTTTCTACACCATTTTTTTTAGTTGTGACCACAAGTAACTAAGACCAGCAGTTGATAACATTTTACTTTTTTTCTTTCAGTGCCCCATATGTGCAGTACAGTTGAGCATCGCTGTGATCACTTCTGTATAAACACCCCTGGCTCCTATGTATGCAGATGTAAACAAGGATACATTCTGAATGCTGACCAGAAGACTTGCAGCAGTATGTTATCTTTCTTAACTTTTCTCTTTCATGTTCCCAAAAAGTGCCTAACATCACATACCCTTTTTGTTGGGCTCATAAAGAAGGACTGAGCTCAGTATATAATTAATGGTAATCATCAGAAAGAGTCTGAAAAGGTGAAGTTGTAATTCTTTTTCTTGTTTTGTGTAAACGAAGTTCTTATAAACCTTTCTGAAATACATCAAGCTAATTTTTATACACATCTCTGCAGAGTTACACTCGTAACTACATAAAATTGCATTTGAATTTTATTGGTGTAATAAGTTCAACAATGAAGCAACAATCAAAGAAAGAACTGTTCTATCATCTCACATGAAGTGAATCCAACTCCTTCAGTAACTTGTCTAGGTAGCAACCAATACTAAATAGTACAGAAAAGTCCAATAAGCCCCATACTAGTGAACTGTGAAATAACTTGTTCTGGAAAGCTCTTCCTAACCCCTGCTTTAAGTATAAGGATTTGCAAGCATTCAAAATATAGTTTCAAAAGTCTGGCTTATGGTCTCATTCCCTTTTTTAAAAGGGTTGACTTTTTTCAGTTTTAAGTAGTTGACCTTATAGTTTATAACAACAAACTGTATTTCACCTTAATTGTGATCTTTGTAAGGAGTATTTCTTTTGTCCATTTAAACTTGCTTCCTAGTAATTAACAGCAGACTGCATTAGATGGGTATGCCAAATTTATTTCTGTATCCACCATTATTTTAAAGAAATTATGTAATACTATTTTTAATCACTTGTGGAAAATGTACCTGCTAAAAATGCAGCTTCTTATCCCGTGACAGTGCATGGATTCAAGTGAAATTTGCCAAGCTGACTTTAGCCAGAAGAAAAATTTTGGAAAACATCTTTTTAAAAAGCTGGAGGAGACAGTCATGGTGAGAGCATAGGATGTACCCTTGACAACTGATAATTCAGAATGAAGGTGAAGGATGCAGGCTCAAATCCTATCCCGGTGTTTGAACTCACATGTTCCACAGCTCAGGAGAGTGCCATAAAACAATCAGGTAGCCTGGGATTAGTTCTTAGTTCTAAGAGGGTTCTTAGTCTCTCTTGCTTAGTGTTTTATTTTATATCGAATGCTTAATGACCACCAAAACACTGAGAGTATGTCAGTATCTGAGGTGACTGCAGCTGGGGGATTAGAGTCCTTAGATGTGCAGCGAGGCACATGGTTTCGCTCAGAGCCTCAGTAAATAGGAATGGGAACAAAAGAATGTCAGCACCGGCGTGATTTGGGCATTCTTGCTGCTGCGTGGAAGCGTCTTCAGACTCTTTGGGCTACAGCTTTTCAGCTGTTCACCTCCTATGCTGTCAAGCTATAGGATGAGTTACTGTTAGGAATCTCTGTTTTGTAGTCCTTCTCACCAGCATCCGTCACTAAATGTAGACACTTGTCATATGCATGTGTGTGAATGTTTAGTGTTAGCAAATTTAACACTTCATTCATGTTTTTGTTTCCTCAAGAAGGTGCAAAAAACAATCCAATCTGGTATATTTCCTAATAATTATTTGGTTTAGCAGCTGAGCCAAGATAAGAATAGTGACAATTTTTCACACAGCCTATTTTCTCCGCTTCCACTTATTTGCTATAGCTCTTTAGGAGGAGGGTGATCAGAATCCCAAAAGATGGCTCCAACGATGTAATCACATTTCAGTAATATTCTCTAACCTATTCTTTTATTTGTGCTTCTCATTTAAAACTTTTGTATCCTTTAAACCTTTCTTTTAAACCCTCCTCATGCTATTAATACTCTTAAAAAAATTTTAAGAAAGAATTCTTATGCTTCCACTTTTCTGGAAATTATTTGAAAATCAAAGTTTCTCTTTTTTTTAATTTGCTCTCACACATTTTCCCCATCCTCACCCCTAACATCAATTTTGACAGTTGAATTTTTTTTGTGAGTCACTTCAAAAGATTTTAATTCTAATATGAAAAATTATTTCTTTATTGTGTCTTCTTTTTTATTGCGTTACATTTCCATAGTTTTTATCAGCCAGTAGTTCAACTTCGGGGCACTGCACTGCTGCAAATTACATATTAACTTCCAAGAGAGTTTTAGAATTCTGTGTAGTTTTTCTACTGGTGACCTATGCACTGGTAGCCCTCAAAATGTTAGTTCTCTACCATTTTTTGAAGCCCATTGCTGCATTGCTTTACTTGTTTTTTAGCTATGACTCAGTCTTACATTAGTTTTCCCCACTTACCTGTCACACGGATTCGCTTGACTGCGTACTCGCTTTGATCATCAATCAGATGATACTAGATTGCAGTTTGCTAAGTATGAAATGGAAATTAGTCATTCATTGTGTCTGTAGCCTACTTCTAATGGACTTTTTTCTACGTCACCAAACTATAAACTAATTTTAGCAATTAGGACTGGAAATCTAATATTGAGAGCTATCAAACCGGCCTTTAATGTGCTAGGATGGTGCAAATCATTGGTGAAGGAGGGAGATGATACGGTAGCAGTCTAGACAAGGTCAGACCATCATGTCTAAAAACTCCTCAGAGAAGTAACAGAATTCATGAGTAAAAGGGACCAAGCCTGGACAAGCTGGACAGCTTATTACTGGAGGCAAGGGGAAGCATGGTGATAGAAAAACCCACAGTCTGTGACCATTCCATCTCCACAAGTGCGCAGAGACAACATGTTCCTCACTTGACCTCTAGGTAAAATAAATCTTCATCATGTTTATGTTTAGTGTAATACATGATCAACATAACCCAGATGTATTTATCTAAGGTTTGGATGTATTTGTCAGCTCTTCCATGAATAAATAGTTTCCTTATGTATATATTTTAACACTTTCTAAATTAAACAATGCAGAAAAGATGAATGGTATGTACCTAACGTTACAGTCCATTTTCATTCTTCTGTTCCCTTTTTTTTATGTTGTGAGAGTGCACCGTATCAGTATTTAGTTCTTAAAAGCCCTAACCAAATGGCTTCTATCAGCAATGAATTGACAGCTTTGCTTCAGGCTGGAAAAGGGTGCATTTCTCCTTTGAATAGATGATAGTTTTATTCCTTGATACATTTCATTATAACATTATTTCTAAAAAAATTATTTCCTTGCATTGAAGGAAGAAAATCTGCCATATTTGTGATTTGTTGCTTACCTCGTGAAGAAAAAAAACCATGCAACTCAGCTATTTTCCAGAACAAAACTAGGGGGAAAAAAAGTTATTCTGTTTAACTTGAAATATTCTTACATTTATTTATTTAAGATGTTTTGCATCCATGCAAATGATCCTTCTTACTTTGGTCTAACTTTTCTAGAAAAGAGTGACTGTGTCAGATAATGGCTACCCTTTACTCATTACGCTGTATTTGGTTGTTTAACTTAATCTCTTCCATTGCTCTCTAGAGATGTTCAAATCTTATATTAATATACAAAATTGTACAAGAGAGGAAATGTAGCTGAAACAAGCTGGGAAATTATCTATTTGAGGGTGTTTATACTGGAACAAGAGAGTTAAACTGTTTATGCTGTTCTTCATGCCACTTGATATGAAGCAGACAGCTATAAAAGAAAATTTGTATTTGCTTGGCTAGTTTCCTCAAACATGTTCCAAAACCCTTTTTTGAAGCTGTAAATGCTCATTATGTGTTGAGCAGTCTTTGGGCCTGACCCTGAGCAACACAAAGTACTCTGCTTTCCAGAGATTTTACTGGGGAAACTTGGAGTTCTCGGGAAGCTTTAGTCTGTTGAAAGGGAAGTCCATGGGCTTCATTTGGCCAGGTGCTGAACTGACCTCATTTGTCGTAGTAATTTTTCTGATGAGATCTTTTGCTTGGGAAGCGGGGGGGTAACTTGCTATGGCATTTTGCACAAAACTGAAAAATTATAAAACTCATAAATGAAACATCCCCAAGTCTTCTGGTGTTGTGTTTTCCTTTTCCTTCCCTTTCCAACCTCATCATCATTTATCTGTGGGAGGGTTATGCAAAAAAGAAGAAATAAACACTTTTTTTTTTTTTCCAAAAAAAACCCTGAAGAATGCCCTTCAAACTTTTTAGAGAAACATCCAGTCAAGCAACTCTACTAGGCACCACTGGCCCATCAATAATCATTGCCTTCAGCTGAAGGAATGTCCTGCTGGCAATGAGAGTTTCACCATTTGACAGGACATTGATGTGATCTGTGTTAAAATAAGCTCATCTCTAAAGAGCTGTTCATAGCTTCCTGAAATTTATTTTTGATCTATAGTCTACCCATGCATTATAGAAAGTCAAAGGATTTCATATTCGTGCAATTATATTTTGTAGCTCGGGATCTTTGTGCAGTGGAGAAACACGCCTGTGAGCAGATTTGTGTGAACACACCGGGGTCCTACGTCTGTCAGTGTTATGAAGGGTATGAGCTTGATGCAAATGGAAAGAATTGTGTTGGTGAGTATAAGTATAGCAATTCACATTTCTTTCTTGACACGAACCAAAGGGAAATTTAGTGTAAACTAGTATCCATTAGTTTATATATCCTATGCAGTTTAGCCATAGACAGTGATGGGAAGCTGTCTTCTGTATGAGTGGTAGATAAGGAAGAATACATATTGGCATGTTCCTAGGCCTTTACTGATAATGAATAGTGACTTGGGAAAATTGTTCCAAATAATTTGCACAGAAAGTAACACTGCTGTTTTGAAACAACACACCAGACTTTTATTCTAGATCCGTGTAGGTGGCCGGCAATGTACTGGGATGATACATGTGACCATTAAAAAAAAACAAAGCCAGACAAACTCGTAGCTGCTCTTCAGACAGAAGTTATACATGGAAAAACTTGAAAGTGGACAATTTCTTGCCATTTCTCACTTGGTTTTATGGTCATGCCAGGAGAGATTGCAAATTCTTTTTGGGAAGATGACTTTAAGGAAAGTTTAGTCCCCCTTAAGAACCCATTCTCTATGTGCCTTTAATTTTCACTATGGGCAGTAAAGAAGCAAACAGCAGCTCTAAGAATTACAACTCAAAAGAATGAGTGTGGAAATACAGTGTAATTTTTTTTTAAGACAAAACATACTTCCCTCTCTATTACCATATAAGTATCTCACTCTTCTTCCCCCATTTATACACGATAAATACTTTTAGCATAATCTCTTTCACTAGCCTATTAGCTTTCTCGTAATCTTTTCATCCCATGCTACACTTTGGGAAAATATTGTCTTCTGGTATCCACCACAAAAAAACCCCTAGTGAGTCCTTGAAAAAGAAATTGCTCTATTTGTTAGGTATTCTCTTCAGGCAAGCACTTACATGCATGCTTAATTTCAAACACATGCTGAAATCCCATGGAAGTGAATCCAAGTTGGTCCTTGGCCCCAAATCTGCCACAGGCCACCACAATGCTTTTGTCCAACAGCTTACTCTTTCTTGTCATTTTAAAGAACTCTTAACATTATCTAAGCTGTCTCTTAGTACCTTCACAGAGCTATTACCTTGCAGAATAAGCCTAATTTGAGATGCAAAATAGATCACGGTTTTTGGAACTGAACTTTCTGCATGTAGTTTCACATGGGACACACAAATGAGGTTTTGAGGTTTTTTAGACATGCAGTTTTGAAGAACATTCACTCTGTACTTACTCTTCACAAATGTTTCCCTTACTTACAGCTTCATGATCTCAGAAAAGAATGTTTATATTTCTCAGCCTAATTTATCCTCAGCATAATTTGGCCACTAATATACCATTTTAAGAACCTGTGTTCTGAAGTTGAATTGTTTTGAAAATGCAGCTAATAATGGATATTTAGGCAAGAAGGCTGTTAGATGTTCTGGCCCAAATTTCTACATCTAACACTTCACAGAAGGTCATCCAATAACATTAGCTAATCCTCATGACCTTTACCTATGTTAGGATAAAGCATATATTCCTCTGCTATTGATTTGACTATATCCTGAGACAGAAGATCTGTGACTTCTGTTGGTAGGTTCTTTCATCGCTATTCTTTCCCACCATATTTTCTAATCTAAAATATTCATGCTTAGTGTCATCAGCTGTTGTTACTATTTTCTCTCTATTAAGTTGAAGGGTCCTTTACAGCCCAAGATATTCCTACCAGGAAGGTAGCTACCATAGCATCATAAGGATAAAAATAAATTTTGGTGAAATTATTTACATGTCAAACCTAATATTATCCTCTATAATAAATACAAAGTCTATTTTTCTTATTAAAAGCTTCACAATATTTCTATGCCATTTATTAAATTTCTTACAGTGGCAGTCGTTTTTTGCCTGTTAATAATTTCTCTGCAAAGTCTGAAGAATGCTATTTGGAGTTGTGATACATCTTTAACGTTTTTTATTCTACCTCCTCACTGGCTGTCTTTGGCATGGAGAGATACAGGCCTATTATAAGCTCTATTGATATTTGAAGCTTTCATATTCTTAGTTATTTGCAGTTATTTTCAAAATACAGTTCATGCATGGGTTCACTATGGTATCTTGCATTTTATAGCTGACTTTCCTCTCCACTTGATTTCTATTCATTTATACCTAGTTTAGAAAAAAACATGAACTCATGCTACTCACACTCCTGCAATAATTAGCAGCATTAATTGTGATTTTAAAGCACATTATTAGCAGTTCTACTTTTCAATTTTATTTTGCATTTATTTGACCATTTAACTTTTTTATTTCTTACTGATGCACATGAATGGTTCAATGTATATTAATTATGTTTTACCCATGCATAACATAGCCTCTCTACATTTCCTGAACAGGAAAAGATTGTCTGGGTAACTTGCAGTTTTGGTGCTAATTTGTTGGCATAGCCTATTAGCTGTCAGTCTCCAGAATATGACTTTTCAGATTTGAACAATTTGAGATTTTTGAGGAATATGCTCCTACCAAGAATGTACAGCTTCTGCAGATGTGATCACAAATGAATAATCATCCCTGCTGGAAAATCTTCTAAAGGACGCTATATGTAGTACTGAATCAGTAGTGATAGTTTTCTCTCAGTTTTCATTACTCTTAAGCTAACCATTCCTTTCTGTGAAGTATTTATTACCAAGTGAGCAGGATCAGAAGAAATATCTTGATGTACACGTATACCAGAGACCACTGAGTACAATGACAATTTTGAAAAAAAGCAGTTGCTTCATTAGGTTTAGTCGTTCCTCTTCATCCAGAGAATTAAAAGAGAATTTCAGTAGGACATACACATCACGGATCTCTCAAAGAGGCAAAGGTTTCTCTCTAAGATACCTAAGACTTCTAAAATTTTAACTCCAGCAAAAGTAAATGAGAAGGTGCAGAAAAGTCGTTTCACAGGCAGGTTTATTAAGTTCTCTTCCTCTTTCTGATGGGCTAGTTTCTCTGGTTAAGGATCAAAGGCAATGCTAATTGCTTTATTGACGAATGTGTCAACCAGTTACCTGAATGGCAAGAATTAAAATAAAATCTCACAACCAGCAGCTCATAATTGAAAGTGACCACTGAATGGCCAACCACTCTGAGTGTTGGCAACACACAGTTTATGAACAAATTTGTAGACTAAACAATATTTGAAACTCTCTGCTCGGTGGTAAGTGGCTCTGGCTGGCAGAGCACTATCACTTTGCCTTTTTAAACAGCTTTTCATGTTAACTGCCCTTCTTTCACGTGAACAAAATCCTGTGAGTTCAAGTTTGGTTTTAAGGAGCCATTCTTTCTCCATCATGCTGCTGGACACTCACTCTCTCCACCTTCTTGGTGTTGCTAGACATGCTGTCCTGTCTTTCCTGGCGCTGGTGCTAGACTCTCTCCGTATTACTGTAGCTGTTGGGCTCTGGACCTCTTCTCCTGGCGGTGGTCTGGCTGCTGGCATCTCTCTGCAGTCCTGGCACCACTACCTTTTTTTGGCTGCTTTCTAGGTTCTTACGAGTCTTCCATTAATCTGTTCTACTCTCCCCCCACGTTTTTTTCATTCTCCTTATGCCTTTACTTATTCTGTCACCTTTTCTTCCTACCCTTTTCTTCTACCCTTCTCCTTAATTTACTTCATTCTCCTAAGCCTGAATAACCTTCTCCTAAGCCTGAATAACCTATATAAACACCAGAGGAGTAAAACAACAATACAAGAGAAAGGTGACCCATGCTGTCCACAGTTCGGAGAGGGCAATGTAAGCACCCAGAGTGCAGAACTGGTGACTGGAAGGAAAAGATGGGTCTCATCACTTACCAACTAATTCCAAGCAAGAAAAACGGGGTGGAAGAAACATGGGGAGATAACAAGTGAATTAATTGCTTGCTCACTAAAAAGGTCATTAATTCATCCTTTAGAAAAGTGTCTTATTGAAATAGGCATGGGCTAACATTAAAAACAGTGAGATCTCTAAGTGTTCACATTCTAGTGTATAACTCATGACTCAGTACAGAAATATGAAAATAATAACAATTAACAAAATAGGAAAATATTATTGTGTTTTGCTCGTATACAAACTAAGTATTTTTTCTGCATACCAACTGAAGGATTATAGTACTTCTATATAAGAAATACAGATTTATGATTTTTCTCAGTCTTTTCAGGAAGATTTAACTCCATGGACAACTTACCTACTTGCTGACTGGAATGCTGTTGACAAGTTTCCCTTCTAAGCAAGTACCATCAAAATGAAACATGAAAATAAAAGTGAGACAAATTTGTAGGTCAATTACTAGTGCCAGTCTGCAAAGCTGTCTAGGATTAGGGCAATTTGTATACAAAAAATATTGAAAAAGGGGAATAATAATTATTTCCAAAAGCAACTGTCAAGAGAATGTTCTCAGTTAACTGTGTTAGTGGAAAGGCATTATTTAAATTTATATGCTTATTATTCTTAGGGGCCAACAGACCTACTTCTGTGAGTAAGAGGCTGCCAGAATGACTATAAATGGAGAAAAGCAAGCCTGGAAAAATTAGTTATTTATTTTGTTGGGTTTTTTTCCTTTCTGTCCACAGTACTTTAGCAGCTGCATAGCCATAAGAAGACACAGTTGCTCCCTCAAGAGATTGTCATCTGGAAGTGCTTAGTGTCATAGTTGCTCAAATATTGATAATAAAGTATTCTAAGACCTGTTTAGTTGTCTCTCAAACAGCAAAGCTGGTGAAAAGGCTGGAAGGAATGTCCTGTGAGGAGCGGCTAAGGACTCTGGGTTTGTCTAGTTTGGAGAAAAGGAGGCTGAGGGGTGATGTTATTGCTCTCTACAGCTTCCTGAGGAGGGGAAGTGGAGAGGGAGGTGCTGAGCTCTTCTCCCTGGGATCCAGTGACAGGACATGTGGGAACAGTTCAAAGCTGTGTCAGGGGAGGTTCAGACCTGACAATAGGAAGCATTTCTTTACTGAGAGGGTGGTCAAACACTGGAACAGGTTTCCTAGAGAGGTGGTCGATGCCCCAAGCCTGTCAGTGTTTCAGATGCATTTGGAGAATGCCCTTAATAGCGTGCTTTAACTTTTGGTCAGCCCTGAAGTGGTCTGGCAGTTGGACTAGATGATCATTGTAGGTTCCTTCCAACTGGAACTATTCTATTCTATTCTATTCTATTCTATTCTATTCTATTCTATTCTATTCTATTCTATTCTATTCTATTCTATTCTATTCTATTCTATTCTATTCTATTCTATTCTATTCTATTCTATTCTATTCTATTCTATTCTATTCTATTCTATTCTATTCTATTCTATTCTATTCTATTCTATTCTATTCTATTCTATTCTATTCTATTCTATTCTATTCTATTCTATTCTATTCTATTCTATTCTATTCTATTCTATTCTATTCTATTCTATTCTATTCTATTCTATTCTATTCTATTCTATTCTATTCTATTCTATTCTATTCTATTCTATTCTATTCTATTCTATTCTATTCTATTCTATTCTATTCTATTCTATTCTATTCTATTCTATTCTATTCTATTCTATTCTATTCTATTCTCAACTTTATAATCATTAGTCTGGCAGTTGCAGATACTGTGGTAGAAATGCATTTCATTAGGGTTTAAATGCAGAGGAGGAGGTGACTTTATAGAGTGATCTATATGGGCTGTTTCCCAGGTATAATGCTAGATAGAAAATTATATATTCTTTGGCCTACTTATTTCTTAATATGTCTTTTAAAACATTTGAATATGTGCATTTGGTTAGAATTAATTTAAGAGGAAAGCTGACTAATTGTATGACACATTATATCCTTGAAATATATATTCAGTAAATACGTTTTTATATGAAGCTATTCAGTCTGGAAACAGGAATGTGCTTGCCAGGAAACTGGTCTCACATGGTAGCCATTAAGTAGTCTAATTTGACTTGATTCAACACAAATATTCTGAACTGTTAAAAGAATCTCTTTCAAAGTAACAAAATGGATTATCCACTTTCCTGACTAGATGACCTTGACTAAATATCTTAGCACACCTGAGTATACGCAGGATTTGCAAAGGCAGGGCTATTGAAGAAGGAACTGATTTCATTAAAACAAATTACCCCCTCTTAAAGTGCTTTGGGAGGCTCAGCAGTATAAAGTAATGAAAAAATTACTCAGTTGGCAAAGAACAGGAAGCTGTCTTGTTAAATGTCTGTGTGAAGCTGAGCACGTTACTGTCTTCTGCAGAAAGAATCAGGTACACTTGCCTGGACCTGGCAGCTCTCTGGGGACAGAACACCTGCTTTGTGACTTATCTTTAATTTCTTCTAAGACTTTCTTTGTGAAGAAACAGTTTAACCTGCAAAGAAATAAAAAAAAATCATTTCACTTCTTTAGCACTTTTGAGTGGGCTTGACTGAGTAAACTCTAAAGTATTACCTTATTACTCTTTGGCAATCTGTCTTGTAAATATGGGTTTGTGTAATAAATGACTGGACTTACAAAATAAGTGACTGGACTAGCTATGATGTTTTATTTCTCTCATACAAAAGGCACTATATAAGGAAAATTATCAGTGGTGAATATCAGCCTGAAGCTGTCAGGCTTCGTAGCTGCAGTTGCTTTGTACAGGATGAATCTGGAGCACATTAGAGGGAATGAACGTGCTGTGACAGTCCTTGGTGTAGAAGGTGTTGCCATGGGTCTCATATACACTCAGGCTACAGGAACAGCTCTTGAGAACTAAGGCAGCTGGGAGGGAACTAAGGAAAAGTACAGCAATTCCAGGACTGGGACTGGAGAGACAGAAAACAGAACTAAATCAAACAAACTTTGCTACGCCCTGGTCTACAGTGTGAACATCTGGACAGAGTTACTGACTGAGGCATGGTTTCCAGATCTGAGAAAACATGTTGAGAAGGCTCCTGGCAATCTGAGAGTTGATAAATGTTCAAAGTATAGGAGAAATGACCTGGGACTCATATCAAATCTGGTGTACCAACTGGTATTGAACGTGTACTACTTTTTGCAGAAAGGCTCTTCAGGACAGAAACTATGTCAGCTTTTCCTTTTGTTATAGCTACTGTGTGTAACTAGTACCATAATCTCTATGCATAATAGTTCTGATTTTGTTTTTCTAATTGTACATGTGGATCTTGTTCTTTTTCAGTTGTAGACTACTGTGCTTTGGATAACCAAGGTTGCCAACATGAATGTGTTAACACTGAGGACTCCTATTACTGTACATGCCACCCAGGGTTCATTTTAAATCCAGACAAAAGAACTTGCAGAAGTAAGTTGTGTTAAGGTTTTATTAATGAACAGTTTGTACTTCTTCTTCTGTTTTCCAGTACTCAGCAGTAATACTCCCACTGGTCCTGGGAACAGCGCGTAATGTGTTGAGTATAGAAAATGTTGGAGTGCCCTTGAAGACAAAGGTTGTGAAAGCAATGAAAGTTGTTTTGGGCGGTAGTTTGGTTTTTGGGGACAGGAAGTAGGGGTCCCTTCTATGAACAGGAGGCTTTTAAGGTGAGACCAGGCTCCTTTTTCAATAGCAAAAGCCGAAAGCTTTGTCTTGCATAGCCTCCTTGATTATCCAGATTTTTCAGTTAGAGTATGATCTCCCTAGGTAGGTAAACAAACAAGTTTGTACAGCCAAAGACAACTTATAATCAGCTTGTAAGACAAGCTAAAATTAAATGGAGTTAGTAGTTCCACAGTCAGAGGAAACATTGCAGCCTATTTTCCTATGGATTTTTCTCAATAATGAGTTCTTTGATACTGTGTGCTCTGGAAAGATCAGCATCTTCTACCAAGGTTCCAGGTTATAATAACTTCATTGCTTGCTTGCTTTTTGTCAAATTTGATCGCTGTTGGGCCAACAAGCTCAAATATTAGCAGAATTAGGAGTGGATATAAAGTGGAGGGAAATGACATAAAGTACATAAAGTACTCTTGCCAAGACTTCCCTTACTTGGGAAAACAAACTAAAATCTCCACAGTGTTTAATGTCATAACTCACTTTCAGGAAATGTGAAAGGAAAACCTCAATGTACATTCCTAGTTATCTTTCTTCAAAAATATGGATCTTGATCAAGAAATATTACTATTGTGTCTGTAAGCAGACAAACTCCATTGGTTTTAGGTGATGGTTGCTGATGCCAATGGTGAATTTAGCCTACATTATTGAATAATGTGTACAAACATTGTTTCTCAAAAAATGCATCAATATAGCACTGCATTTCTGTGATTTTAGAGACTTGGGGGCATTTCAGTCTTTATGATGAGACACTATGTTAACCTATAGACTGTATTGTGTATTATGCTTGGTATCTATTTCACTTAAATTTAATGTTTAGAAAGAAAGCATCTAATCCAGGTTGTACATCTGACCTTACGATCAAAGGAAAGAGACAGACACTTCTAGAAGGTGATTGCTCACAGCTTTGATGCAAATTTATAGAAGTGTCTGTATTTTCCTTGACTATGCAGGGAGACTGGATGACTTGCCAGAGTAAACACCTAATTTTCAGATGTCCAGAGTCAGGAGAGATGAAATTCCCACCTCCCAAGGGCCAGAGGTTCATGTTGCTTGTAGCTTGTATGAACTCGCCCATTTGTCAAGTATCTGTCAGCTAAGGGCTGACTAAATTGTCTTATACTTCCACATATACTTCTACATACACATATTTTTTAAATCTTACTATATTTCCACTGCCCAAGCAAAAAATTCTTGTTAATTCCTTCAATTTAAGATCATGGATTTTAAGCAATGTTTTCTCCCCATGGTTTGAACTGAACAAAGACCTTAAAACTGCATTGATATTTTCTGTGTCTTAAGTAGTTTTTAGCTTATGGTTTAACCATATGAATAATTTTAACTCCTTTAAATTGGTGATCCACAGAATGCTGGAAGCTGAGAGAGTGTGCTGGGAAAGTTGTGTTTCAGGCTTGTCCTGTCTCTATCCTCTGACTTGGGTATCTACTGCTTGAGACAGCATGTTGGGTTACATAGACTTTCAGTCTGACCATGTGCAGCTGTCTTTATGTTGGAAATAAAAAAGCTTTCAGATGCTGGTTGGACAGGATATCTCAAAGTCATCTATTCTAGCCTCCTCCTCAAAGTGGAACTGCCACAAACTGTGGATTGTGTCAGCTATGGTTTTGTCTATCTTCAGTCTCAAAAAGCTTCAGTGGAGAGTCCACAGCCTGTCTGGGAAACCTGTTCCACTGCTGTACTATCCCTCTAGAGAAAAATTTTCCTCATGTCCAACCTGAATCACCCAAACCACAGGTGGTGACCATTGTTCCTTGTTATATCACCTGGCAATACCAAAAGGGTTTAGCTCCATTACCTTTGTCATGACTCACAAGAAGTAATTGTAGGCTGAAATTAGACACCTTCCTCTTCACCAAACTAAGTAAGACCACTCAAGCTGTCTGCACATGTCATGTGGACTATGTCCCAGCAGTCTTCGTAGGTCTCTGTTGACCCTTTTTCAGTTTATTGCCCTTAACTGGGGGGAGAAGGGGAGGTGTTGTTGCAGAACTGGACAAAGTATATCAAGTGCAACTTCACCAGTGCTGAGTAGTGGGGGATAGTAATTTCTGCTTGCTGTGCTTCACCAGTGTCGTCCAGTATGAGGTTTGCTTTATTTGTAGTGAGAGCACACTGTTGGCTCAGACTAAAGCTCACACTCTTGGTAAACCCTAAGGCACCTTCCATCCAGCACAGCAGCTGCTCAGCCAGTGTCAGGGCCCTGGGGGCACCAACAGGCCTTACCAGCCCCTCACAGTTCCCCTGGGGCTTCTCACCCCTGCCCATGGCCCAGGTGCCTTATTTCAGCTCTGCCTGGAGCCTTCAGTCCCTGCCCCAGAGATGCTGTAGGAGTGCCGGGCTCCAGCTGAGCCTGGCAATAGCCCTTCTTGATCCAGACCCTGACCTGCAGACTGACTTCCCAGCTTGACCATGGTCTTGCCCTGCCAGTATGGACTTGCCCTGTCAGTATGGACCTGCCCAGCCATCGCTGGCCCGTGTCAGACCCTGGCTGCCCTCACCAGGGGTGGCCTTACCTTACCCTGACATGCATGCTGGCCTCCTCGCTTGACCTCAGACCTGCCTCAGCAACACGTACTTGTGTCATGTCTGGACTCCTGATTAAACCTGGCTTCCATTTGCAGGTCTGCCCTGCTCACCTTGCTTGGGTATTGCAGGGCAGTGCCTGTCTGGCAAGGCCCCTACCCGGCTCAGCTACACGATTGCTCCTGGCTCCTGGCTCCCCTTCCCTTAGGGAGCAGCTGGCCCATGCTGCCCATGACAGCAGGTCACTTCCAGGCTGCACAAACGAAGGTGCGTTTCCAACCCACGTGCAGAACTTTGCAATTCTTCTTGCTGAACTTCCTAAGACATCTTCTGGTCCAGTCGTCAAGTTTATCAAGGTTCCTCTGTATTAAAGTTCTGCTATTTGCTTTCAGTCACTGTCCCTAGTTTAGTGTCACCCACAGATTTACTGAGGGTGCACTTCATGTCATTGTCTATGTCAGTGATGAAGATGTTTAGCAATGTGACCCCCAGTACTGTCTACCATGGTACTCTGGTCATTATCAGCAACCAGCCAGACATGAAGCCATTGATCACTTACCTTTGAGGCTGCTGGCCTGGCAAATTTTCACGCACCTAACAGTTCTTTCTTCCAGCCTGTACTTCCTCAGCTTCCAAATAAGAATGCTGTGGGAGGCAGCATCAAGAGCTTTACTAGTGCCTATGTGTGTTACATCCACCGACCTTACCTTGTCCACAGATGCAGTCATTTCATCATTGAAGGTGAACGGGTTGGCCAGTCATGGTTTGCCCTTGATAAATTCATGTTGACTATTCCTGATAATCTTCTTCTCCTTCATAGATGTGGAAATTGATTCTGAGAGGACGTGCCCCATGATCCTGGGACTGAAATGATGGGGATTGGTCTATAGTTCCCTGGGTCTTTCTTCTTGCCCTTTTTTAAATATGACTGTAATGTTAGTCTTTTTCAGTTATCACAGACATCTCTCAGTCCCCATGAATTTTCATACATGATAGACAGTGGTCTCACATCACCTAGGTCTTTCAGCACTCACAGGTGAATACCAGTCATCCCATGGACCTATCTATATCCAGTTTCTAAGTAGTCTTTAACTGATGTTGCTAGGCCCTCTCCTTCCCAAACCATGCTGGTACACATGGAAATCTGGGAGCAGGCTTTGTCTGTGAGAACGAAGAATAAAAAGGGCATTATTTTTTTTAGCTGTTGCCATATTCTTCATCACGAGGTTGTTCCACCAGCCAACAAACACACGTTTTCTGTGACTTTCTTTTTGCCCTCAGCATATGTGTAGACCCCCTTCTTACTACCCTTACAGTGTCCCTCAGATGTCATAGGTCCAACTGGGCTTTGTTTTTGTCCCAAAGTACCTAAGCAATGCTTTTTTTGTACTCCTCTTTTTTTTTTTCTTGGTCCTTCTTTCTCCCTCTACTATTTTCCCTGTTTGTGTTTTATTTCACTGAGAAGCTCTTTGATTTCTAAGCAGATTTTCCAGTACGATGGGATCATTTGTTCCTGAGCTCTTAGCAAGTTTCCTTTTAAAACTGTCTAGCTCTCCTGGGCATCCTTTCTCTTCTTGGCTCTTTCCCAGGGGATTCTTCTTAGCAATTTTCTGAATAAGCTGAAATCTGAACTTGTAAAATATGGAGTCTGAATTCTGCTGTTTCCCCTTGCAGTCTTCTGGATTGTGAACGCAGTTATCTCATGGTCACAGCAGCAAGTCAAGAAGAACATCACCCCTCAAGAATTCGTATTAGGGGGTTGTCACCAAGTATGTGCAGAAAGCTGCTGAGCTGCCTGCACAATGCTGTCTTACCCTCCCAGTAGGTGTTTAGGTGGTTGAAATTTCCAATGTGAACAAAAGCGTATGAGTTGGAGACTTCCTCTGTTTGTAGAAAGCCTTATTTGCCACAGGTGGGGTAACAGACTCCACCACCACTTTCCCAGTGTCATTTCCCCTTTGATCTTGACCAGAAGCTCTCAGCAGGTGCATCTCTGGATCTCTGTGGAATGGAGGAGATCTTTAACATATAACACAAAAGTGCACTGCTCCACAAGGGAATGCAAGCTGGGAGCCAAGGAGGGCTACAAGGCAAGCAGAGTCAGTAAGCTGTCTGACAAGGCCATTGGTCCCAGTGCCCAAAGAAGAAGAACAAAACAGGTCCTATGACAATAACCAGTCTCAGGCAACACTCCAACGATCGCCAGACAAGTCCATAGTGTCAAGAGAGCTCTAAGGTCAATTCAGGAAATCAAGTCAGCCAGTCTGCAGGTCAGGATCTGCAAAATGCAAGGCTACAGGTGTGGCAAGAACCAAGGGTGAGCGCCTTACATTAAATGCAGCTCCCAAGTCAAGGGACAGAGGCCACAGACAAGGCTTCTCACAGTTCTGTGCATCTCTGCCATGTTAACTGCATTCTGGTTTGTTGTAAATGCTGTAAACTCATTTAGAATTAAGGGAGAAAATTTCATAAGGTTGCAATTAGGGAAAAATCAAAGTGACTGGACATGGTAGGCCATAGAGATTGATTCAGAAGGAGTAGTCAGGGAGGAATGAGCAAATACTATGTCAAAACATTCTCTTTCAAGGTACATGTCCTGAATCTAAGCATAAATAAAACTTACTAAGCCACTTTTCCTTACACTTAATATCTTTTGAGCCTTGCTAATGAAGCATGAATGAAAGAACTGTGTAGCTCTTAGAGCTGCGAAAGTCAAGAAAGCATGAGAGCTCTTCAGAGCAAAAGCGTTCCCTAGCTCCCATATGTTATGAATCACACTGCCTTTGAGTCATCATAAACAACGTGAAGAAACAAACTTCAGATCTCTGGATTTAAAATGTTTGTAAATTTAAAACCTTTAACATAAATTTGTACATATTTGGCTTACGTACTGAATCTCAGGGATGACTGCCAACTGGCCATGACTCTCACCCACGCCAGACCAGATCTCTGCATCAGCAAGCAGGCCTGGGGCGACAACTCCTGAGATCTCGTGATTTTCTCAGAATCTTGTCTTTCCTTTCAAAAATAGAAAGTAAGCTTTCATGCTCATGGCTACAAAGAAAAGCTTGAAAATGTAAATGTTATCAGTACGGTCATGCATATCTGACAAATGTTTTCTCTGGGAATTGCTCCAAACTTCTCAGAATGAAATACAAGGAACACGGCTCATGAGGGCAACCCTGCCAACACCAGCAGAGTACTCTATGTGTGGCAGGAAGAGAAGAGAGCAGGAAATTGAGATTATCAGTGAGGCAGATAGATAGAAGTAATTCCTAGCTACTAGGTCAACTATTAAGGGGACTTCTGCCACTCTTGCTGCTCCCCTCAAGAGAACAGACGGTAGCTTCTGCTTGTACTTAGGGGTGCTGAGCCTCAGCTGTTGTTCATTAGAGAAGGCCCCTGTTTGAGTTGTGGGTGGGTTCACATGAGCTGTAGCTGGTAGAGGCCTTCTGTTAGTGTCCTTAATCTGGACTGTGTTAATGAAGCCCTGTGAAATGTGGTTTTAGTGTTCCCAACATAATAGCCTCAAGATTCCAACAAAGGTAATAACAATACATATTTTTCCACTCTTGTGGTCATCTTCAGAATGTTACCCAGGAAAAGTCTGTGCTGCACACTTGAGTTAGCAAGGATTTGAGCAGGTAAATGCAACACAGCACTGAGTAGGTCCAGAAGGCATACAGCTATATTCCTCTGGTGCACACATGTGGCTTTATGATTTCTGTCTCTTCAGTGCACTCTTGAACAAACTGTATTTTCTAACATTTGTTTTTGGTAAACAGATAAGATATCCCCGCGTTATGTATATGTGTATGTGCATATGCTGTCATAAAAAGCTTTGGTAAAGGAAATTTTCTGTAAATTTATGAAGTGGAGTTTATAAGTGATGAAATATTCCCCTCAGGTTTTCTTAGAAAGTCACATTCCACTTTGTTTGTCCTGAAAATACAGGTGGCTTATTATTGCTAAGGGCTTTCAACATATATAAATGCTCAATTGCATTAGCCTGCCACACATACAAGTAAAGACCAGTTCCTGCCTCAGGAAGCCAGTTGCTACCTCTAGGAATAGTAATTAACCTCTGAATTTTGGTTTTGAAGTTGTGTAATGAGGTGTTCAAAAGTGCCTGTATGTCTTTAAAAATGTGACTGACTTGATTTGTGACTTGTTTATCTATTTGTAGCCATGCTGAGGTGTTAAGACCATTTTTTCACTAGTATAAATTAATTAACTCCACTGATATAAAACTAAGTGATGGCCAGACACTGCATCTAAGTGAATGTCAGGTTCTTTGACTTCATGGTCAAAGTGGTAAACACCATGTGGCAAATATCCCAGTGCTTACTGCACAATTACTTTCCTTTTTAAGGTACTTTACACACAAGTAGTAGCTGTTTCTAGAATTTGCTCGTCTTCCCTTTCATGAGCATTTTAAGTGGAAGAACTATGTAGCAAACACCCAGAGCTGTTAAAACACCAATGCTCCTGATGTCCTGATTGATTTAATGAACGGCAGTCCAAAGCATGTTTGTGTATTTATTACAGATCACATCTAACTTGCTCTGAGTAAAATAAAGAGGCAATTTTGATGAGACAATGTATAGGTCTTAGCTGCAAAATGTTAAATATTTAAGATTCTAACTTCTCTACTTCATGTAGTGCATGTGTTCTTAAAGAATTCATTGAAGTATACATATCAGGTACATCTGAGTATAGCAGATATTTGGAAAAAAGGAACATTTTTGTTTCATAGTTTGAAACAGTATGGTGAACAGTCAGAATGATGCCTAGGGGAAAAAAAGGCTAAAGAAAAGAAAACCAAGTAACTGTTTTTTACCAAGCTTATTTTGGAGGAATTATATTCCTCACTGACACATTTTTTTCCCCATTTAGGACCAGACTACTGTGCTCTTCAGGACCATGGCTGTGAACAGGAATGTGTTAATACAGATGATTCCTATTTTTGTCGATGCCAAGAAGGGTTTAGACTTAATCCAGATAAAAAAACATGCAAAAGTGAGTAATCCTTTGGACATAATAAAGTTCATCTGCTTTTACTTCTTAAACCTGCTGTGAATGGTTTGCCTTCTGAAAGGATGAAAGTTTTCTCTACAGCTAGGGTTGAAACAAATGTTTCTTTATAAACTTGAATTTTAACTGAGCCAGTCATGCTGGAAAAATACACTGTTTGGTGTTTAGTAGATTAGATTGTACGTTAGACATTTTCTGAATAGATTTATGGAAACCTGAGGAGTAATATAGGAACCATAGTGGCTCAAAAACAGTAAGTTCATTACTTATTTGGAACTTTCTGACCTTATCTTGTAGTGACACAAACAGCTTTTAAAAAAAAAAAATTTCACCTTGCTTTGCCCAGTTGGTTTAGCCAAGGACTAAGTATTTCATTAGCTTGGGAAAGTAATGTAGCTTGGGATAGGTAATGTAGCTATTAAAATCAACTTAAAGTCACACACAGAACCCCACAGTTTCCTAAAGAGTTTGTAAAAACAACCTCAGCAATGTCAGGGTTCTAAACCAATCACACATACTATTTACTTTATAAAGACTTTCATGTTACAGCTCTTCTTGAGTGGGGGCCTAGAATCACAGCAGATTTTCAATGTAATGTTAAATTTAAGGATAATATATTCAGCAAAATGAACTAGACTGATCTGGTGACTCAGTTCTTGCGGGGGAGAATTGTACTGCTGATATTTAATGAATAAGAAGCTTGCCTGGAGCAACGTAATTATATTTCTAGACGCTCATAAAACTTATCTGGTTTTGGAACTGTTATTTCTTTCAGTCTTAAAGGTGCATTTTCATGAAGCATCTTTGTCTACACAGTGCCGTTTTTACAGCAATCTGTGCTATTCTGGTTTTTATTATCTACATGGTATTTTAATACATTCAAGTTTTTATAGATTGGATGTGCCTTGGTTAGTATAGGAGCAAAAGAACAGCATTGTGTAGGATATTAATTGCCAAGAATGTAATTGAAAATTAAAGGCAAATTGTAATTCCTATTTGGGGTATTTCTCCTTAACTTCAGGGGTTTTTGGATTTGGCTGTAAACCTGGTGATGTTTCTAGGATTAAGCTCCTATTCCACATCTTGTTATAACAAGACTCATGTTAGATAAGCTTGTAAAATAAAGCAGAACATTTGCATAATGCCCTCTTCATAAATCAGGGAGAATGCATCACCGGTGACCAGCACCAGGCATTCCTCCTTCACCACGACGCATGACTTCTGATGACTGCCGGAGCCGGTCTCTGGGAGTCCAGGTGAAGTCTCGCGTAGCCAAGTATTTGCAATCCACTCTCAGATCCACAGTTCACCATCAGCTTTAGCAGGTGTCCAAAGCACAGAATCTTAAATATCATTTAAGAAAAATGAGTTTTTCTAAGCCATTTTACTTCAGTAACCCTCACGGCTGGCTTGAATTCTTCACTGTTTTTCTCTCCACAGAAGTAAACTTCTGTGCTTTAGGTCAGCATGACTGTGAACGTGAATATATTAACATGCAAGAGCTATTTGTGTGCAACTGTCATCCTGGATACGCCCAACGACATGATGGCAATACGCGCAGAAATGAGTGTGTCTCATGAACTGCAGCGAGTAGTGACTGCAGAGGGGCGAGGTGTGAACAGAATGAGAAAACGCTTCTGGGTCCTTTTTGAGATCTTTCTGAGCTTTGCAAACCTGGTGTTAGTGTAAAGTCCACCACGAGCCAGGCCTGGTGAAATATGAAGTAATGCTGTAGTGAGATCCCTGAGCCAACAGAGAACTAAAGCATCATCTTCTCCAGTCCAAATAACTGGGAAAACGTGTTCGGCCAAGCTGTCTAACACAAAGGCAGTGCCTGCTGTTGAACATCTGTATCATTGCTATGTGCTATGGAAACCGCAGCGTACCCGATACTGATGTACGCTGATACGTGGAAATACGTAGAGACTTCCCCTTCTATATGTTTACATTTTTCTGTGATCTGTTTGGTAAAGCGTCCTCTTTTAATAAGAATGTTAGTAAATGAAGGATCAGTGTTGCACCAGAAAAAAACCCAACAACATTGCCCGCTTGACATCACACAGTTTTTAGAAGATACTTTTATTGCAGAGAACCATTTTGCACATCATCTAAAATATTGGCAGCGTTTTTCCCTGATGTACTTACCACATATTTTTTGAAGGGAACACTCAGTCACTGAAATTTAAAAAAAGTTGACAGGCCAAGGAGTAATTATTTTTAAATAAGCTTGTGATAAAGCCATATTTAAGGAAACTTTGATGTGTTGCAAGAGGTCAGAACTTTTTAACAGTTAGGCTATCAAGTTGAATATCTAATAATAAATATATCCCAAGACACTCATTGTTTTTAAAAATACTGACTCTTCCCCTGTCCCTTCCCCTTCTTACATTTTTTTACACATGTAATGAAGTACACATGATGACTAAATTTACAGTTATGCTAATTTCTAAAGCCTGATAATTAGCAGCTTTGTGCCACTCTTTCAAAGAGTATGTTAAAAGATTCTGCAGGAGAATCCAAAGTATTTAAACGTTAAAATTCACATTAGTGTGGGTGTTTGTATTGTAAAAGATGGTGCCAGACAGATGCAATTTTTCACAGAGAATAGTGGGGAGTTTTTTTCTTTTTTTCTTTTCACCATTTTTTGTGTGCTCTGAGAAGTTACACAAGCCTCTTCATAATGATGTAAACTTTTGGAAAAAGGAGAATGTTCCAGCTGGAACTTGCTTTAGCTAGTAAAAACTGACACCTCAACTTCACTTGTTCAAGCCAATGTTATCTCTGTCTATGTATAATGGTAAATCTGGACCAATTTCTGCGAAATCATTGCTTAGTTAAATAAACTAATAAACTGCAATATTTAGAACGAAGTAATTTTACATTAAATACAGAGATTTTTTTAATGTAAACAAATAGCTGCAGACATGCCTGTTCACATCTGTAAATGATTTGCAAATAGAGATATAAGAGACTGTTTTTGTGTCTGAGGGAACTCCACTACTTGTGATCAAGTTAAGCTAAAGTGATTTGGGCCTATATAACTAAAAATAGCCATTAACAAGTTGGCAATAAAATATTATGAGGCAGTTCAGCATAAAGCTTTTTTCCTAAAATGTGTTTTTTCTATACTTACAGAGTCAGCAGATGACATAGTACGTCTGCAAGTGCACGTATCTCACCCTACAGCTTTGCTGTCCATTCTATGAGACAATATCATTTTTAAACCAAATCCACACCTCGCTCTCCATTGCCCAACCTTTCGTCTTTCACACAACCAGTTGCATATAAGAATAAAAAAAATATTCCATTTTATCTTATTGGGAATAGCAATAGGAAAATCAAAGAAAAGGAACACATTAAGATGCTCTCACACTTGTATCTGTCCCCCACTAGGCTTTAACTGCTTGAACCCACTATCAGGTTAAACTGTTAAATTAAGTTATTTCTCATCGTGTTGAAAAAATAATTTACTGTTTATGAAATAATCTGAAAGCCATAGTTTCTATTTCAAGGGTTACTAATATTCATACTTTCTCTCTGAGAAAATTTTACAAATTGGACAAAAAGAGTCTTGCTCTTTTAAGAAAGAAGGTACCATTCTGCAGGTAAAACCAGGCAGGGCTTCAAGGTTCTCCCTTCACTCCACTTTGCAGTAGTTTCCCCTTCTGATTCCTGGCAAGGGAGATCTGCACTTCATCACGTTTGTTATCTGCTAAGTGGGGTCATTGTATTCATTTTACTTAGGTGTTGTTAATTAATTTGCGTTACTCGGGGAGGGGGGGGAGAGAGAGAGAGTGAGAGTGAGAGTGAGAGTGAGTGTGAGTGTGAGTGTGAGTGTGTGTGTGTGTGTCTAAGGCTCCAATGTGATTTCTTCAATTATTAACACAAATCAATAGGAGTGGACCACTGTGCTGAAAGCAATCATGGCTGCGAGCAACTGTGCCTAAATACTGGTGCCTCCTACATCTGTCAGTGCTCTGAAGGATTTGTCATCAATGAGGACCTAAAAACCTGCACGCGTAAGTCTTGTGAGAACCTCCTTGATCTCAGCCCACCTGGGAAGTCTTTCTGCTTTCACGCAGGGAGGAGGACACACCTTCCATTCATTCTTACAGTCTGCATTTCAGTAATACTTTAATAATGATTTGAAAGCAGAAACAGACAGGAAAAGGACTTAGCAAAGGGTACTTGTCAAGATGACTGTAAATCCTCACATATTCAGAAATGTTTTGGAGGATCTGTTCACCCCCAGGTGTTGAGGACAGTTTTTCAGTCACGTGATGAATGTGTCCGACTGACAGGTCATCTTGACAGCACTGTCCCCCAGGCAAACTGCCTCAGCTTACCTGGGGCAGGAGAAGTGGGAGTCCCACACTGAGCTTCACATTTTGCTTGGGAGCTCTTAACAAGTGAACAAAAGCTGTCCTGACAGGTTTTCACCCTTTATAAATCAAATTATCATTGAGAATCATTGCAGTTTCATAAATAGCCAGATTGCTTTCTTTACTGGAAAAACGATATATAGAAAGGGTGAGGAGAAGAGGAACATGAATGTATTATGTCCGTTGACTTTTCCTGGACCTATCCTCTTTGAGAGGGTTTCGGCCTCTTTTCCTACGGATTTTGGACGTATGTTATTTTTGAGGCTTGTTGAGTGTTGGAGCAGCTCCAGAGTTTGCTCCTTTTCTTGCACTCAGGCAACACAGTTTCAACAGGAGTCAAACTGTAAGAGCTCAGACACAAAAATGACCTAGGGAAAAGTGAGGCAAATCAGCAAAGGCAATTTGTCTTTGTCTCTAACTAACTTTGTCTTTGCCTCCATACTTACCTCTTTATCCCCATCCAATACCTTGACAGACTTTGCTTCTGTCTGCCACTACAGCTCTCTAGAAAGGGGCAGACAGTAGTGTGAAAGCAGAACTAGGGCACATGTAACAGCGATGGGGTCTCCTAGAAACAACTTATCTAGACATTTATCTAAAAGAACCACTGGAAATTTAGAAAGAACCAAACGATGGAGTTTTATCAACTTGCAAATGGAAAATCCGTTTTCCTTTGTAGTAAAAAGAGGTGTGTTTTTCACTTTGAGTTATTTTCCTCCGGGTCATACTTGGAGAGCTATCAGCAGCATTAGAGCAGCGCTGTGGCTTCTGTACAGTGAAACTGAGCCCTTTTGAATAGCTCCTCTTCTTGCCAGCATACCCCTCTCTTCATATATATGTAGGAAAGAGATTTTTCCTTTTCCTGAGGTCCAGATGAGTTGTTGAAACCTCATGGACATTTTTAAGCGATCATGAAAAGAGTTTTGGCACTTTGGGATTTCCTGAATGAGCAGTTGAATGGAAGGGATTATCATTTAACCTATACCACTCCTAATGGGAAAACACCTGGGAATTACAATTCTGGTGTCACATACACAGGCACAAGTATGTTAAGACAGCTGTGGGAACAACGGAATGGAAACGTTCATACTTTTTTTTGTAGGAAAAGTAGAAACAGATTTGTACCTTGACAACTAATTACAAAAAAATGAGTGACACTATGTGTGTAGCCAATGGACAGTAGCAAGTACTGCCCGCAGGATCCCAGGGGTCCTATGTATTTGTATGACAGAGAAAAAACACTTAGGAAATTCGAGATTAAAAATGGACCATATTTGACAGTACTTGTGATTTGCAGTTCTTTTCAAAAGCTTGAATAGTCTTAAGCCAAAGGCCACTGAGGTCTGTGAGAGGTCTTCTGCTTGCTGCCACAGCATCTGGGTCTGGTGCACGAGTGAGTTCTGGGGACTGCCACCTTCACATTGGGTCACTGAGAGACTATATTTAAAGAAGAATGCTCACAAGGTAGTTTCTATGTCTTTGCCCATGTCTTACATAAAATCATTGCTAAAGTGTTCTGTTTTGTTTTTAAATTCAATTTGTAAGTACTGGGACATGGACTCTATTGAACTATGTCAAACATAGGAAAGTAGGATTTCTCAAGTCTGCTTAAAGCAACCAATGGGAAGTACACCACAAGGCCCTCTTACATTTTATTGAAGGTATATGTATATTCTTAGATAAGGAAATAGATATTGCTTAAGCAATTCAATGTATTTATATTTACTTGCTTATATGCCATGAAAATATTGGAGATGAAAAATGATTGAATCATTATTTGTTAATGTTTTTAAATAATTTCAATTGCTCCTGCAGGAGTTGACTATTGTGCTCTGAGTGATCATGGCTGTGAACACTTGTGTGTAAATGGTGACCGATCTTACACTTGTCAGTGTTTTGAAGGATACAGGCTTCGTAATGATGGGAAAACATGTAAACGTAAGTTATTGTTCAGCAGCTCAGAGTTATGTTTTTATTACACACATAAAAGAACTCTGTAAGGTAGGATTTGATTGCCTAAACATTGCCATCCAGTGTCATTTTGAATGCTCACAGATACCAAAAGTTCACAACCCCTTTGGTGTCATATTTACCAGCAGTATGTCAATATCTTGGATACTTCAGGGCATCCAAAGTGGCACTGGATGCATACTTTCAGGCACCTGAATCACACCCTAAATGTCTGTGCCATTTAAAAAGTAGCCCTGAAGTTGGACTGCTGTGCAAACTATTTTACTCTGACTTACATTCTTGTATGGGACAACTGTAATTTTCTTCTCAAATCAAGACAAAAATATGTAATGTTTTTAAAGTCTTCTACAGCGTGAATAAGCTTGCAATATTATTAATAGAAAGTTCATTTATTTGTCCAGCATGGGATAAGGATGATTGCAAAAGAGATATCATAATTGCATTACATATTTGACTACATCATGTAGTTATGATGAGTGGCAGATATAAAAAAAATCATTGCAATTTTTTCTCTGGTTTTAAAGTTTTGATCACTAAGTGATCAAAGAATAATCCTGGCTACAGCTCTGAAAAACACACAGGCATGAAGTATTTTATAACTGTAATCCCAATAATATCCACAGATCTCATCAACATCTGCTGTTAAAAAGCATTTACAGAAAAAAAAAATGTAGAGTCATCCAGATACTACCATGACAAATGAAAAGCTCCTTATTCTCAGTTTGTATACCACAACAGCCTGCTTTGTTAGACTGTGCAGAGACAAGTTTTCCGTGTCTAAAAAAGTACTGACACTCTAATCTTGCAAAAAGCTAAAAGCAAGTGAAATTTTCTGGCCATGCAGAAGTCCTTACAGGAAAATAAAGGGTGTGGAAAAGGAAGTGAAAGCAAGATAATAGTTTATCTAGTGTTAACTAATAGATTGTATTTTATTTTATTTTATTTTGAAATATGAGTTGTAGCTAAATTCTGTATCAGAAAACCCCACTGAAAATCTGCTTACCCAATTATAGCTGACAATTTTCCAGAATTTCACAGCAAGATGATACAATCTGTTTTTCTCCTTAGCGTTAAATACAACATACATTGAGCCTTTGCAAACCTACTTTACAAAAAAATAACAAACACCTTCTGAACATAAGCACAGGGGAAAAGAGCATAATTATTTCAGGTTTGAGCAGGTTTATTGCTGAAGATAAAAAGATGATGATAGAAAGATCTGTTTCACACCAGAAAGTTTACCTGAAATGTGGATGTGGGATTATTGTTATTGGAAATCTCTGTGGATCACTAATCTGCCTGCTAGAGACATGTGAAATTCTACAAACTCTAGAACCAGAACAGTGCACCTTTCCTTACTGGTAAGGTTGTAAAATTGGCAGGACAAAGATGTACCTTTTTGTTACAACAAAAAAAAGACAGCAGGTGCTATAAATGATTTGCAGTATTGAGTCCGGTATACTAGCAAGGACAAGAACATTCGGTAGCAGGGAACTGTAAGGCTTTGAACATCTTGCCCTTAACTAACACAAGTTTTCATCTATTAAATTATTCCCAGGTAAAAATGTCTGCAAATCAGTCAACCATGGCTGTGAGCATATTTGTGTTAGTGCTGACAATTCCTACGTCTGCAAGTGTCGTGAGGGATTCGTATTGAGAGAAGATGGCAAGAGGTGCAGAAGTGAGTGACTGTTATCTGTTGAACCTTTGCATGTGCATCAGGCAAGAAAAGAAAGGAGTCTATCACTTCTTACTGGAAAAAAAAACATCCTTTTGAGATCTACATTTTTAAACTTGTTTTCATTCAAAACCTATATTTATATCAATCATTCCCAGGACGGGACATCTGCAAATCAGTCAGCCATGGCTGTGAGCATATTTGTGTTAATGAAGATGACTCGTATGTTTGCAAGTGTCATGAGGGTTTCCTGCTGAGAGAAGATGGGAAAACATGCAGAAGTAAGTGCTCTGATAATTAGTGGTAGACTTATAGCACACAAATCTTCTGTGTAGATTTGTGGAAGTGTTCTAACAAATAGCACTTTTGTAGTTTACTGTTATAATACTACTGTATTGTTATACCTGCCAGAAGCTTGTAAAAGCCTCTTTGGACAGAAATAGTGTATTTTAATAGCCAAATTGATATGACTGGAGACAAAAAAGACCCACAATTTTTCAGGTATCAAGAGTTAGCAGTGTTTGCTGCCTAATTTTTTGCCCATTTCTTCCAGTAATATCAGTAGATCTAATAGAAGCTATTACTTTGCCTTGCATGATACATTTGCTGTAGATGTGCTTTAACCAAACACTGTCAACTGTTCTCAGATAAAGACATTTGCAGTTCAGTTGACCATGGCTGTGAACATGTTTGTGTCAATGCTGATGAGTCATACAGCTGCCAGTGTTACGAGGGATTTACACTTAGGGAAGATGGAAAAACATGTAGAAGTAAGTATCCTTATATTTAACAGAAGATTTCCTCATAATCTGTGTGCTTGTAGACGTGTTTTAAATACTATCAACCTTATTTTTATTCCAGATAAAGATGTTTGCAGTTCAGTTGACCATGGCTGTGAGCACGTTTGTGTGAATACTGATAGTTCATACATTTGCCAGTGCTATGAGGGTTTTGTATTGAGGGAAGATGAGAGAACATGTAAAAGTAAGTTATTTGATGTTACTGTATTTTTTTACACTCAGAAGTCTACTGAAGAAATGTATTGTGTTAGAAGTAGGTCTTTTTATACGGGATTTTACCTGACAAAAAGGAGGATAAATTCTTTATTATTTACTAGGAGCTTATTACATATAGCTTTTAAAGTTTTGGAAATGTTCTCATTCATCAAACTGTAGTAAATAAAATCTAAATTATTCCTAGATAAGGACATCTGCAAATCAGTCAATCATGGCTGTGAACATCTTTGTGTTAATAATGACGATTCATACACTTGCCAATGCCATGATGGATTTGTACTGAGGCAAGATGGGAAAACATGCCGAAGTAAGTACCTTATGAATAAAAGAAGAAATTTCATTTTCCTTTTGTTAGGAGATTATTCACTGATTCATAGTGGTCAGGACGGAATATTGTTCTCTATAGATCATAAAATTTCTGTGTATTAATTATTGTTTGAACTAAAGACATATTGCAGAAAATCAGACAATTTTAAGGTTCGAATGTAGCTTTTAAAATGTGAACTTCATTTCTAGATTGAGTATGTAGAATTTTAATCTTGAGCATAGGATGTTGCTGCATTTTACTTTGATGGGTTGAAGCTCCAATTGTCACTGTGGTGTTCTGTGTATATTCATGCAGACCATGACCTAACCTGTTCTTTAACTTAACCTCGTAGCATGTCCTTTTGTAAATAATAAGCAGATGAAACTCCTTCAGGCTCTTTATATGTTTTTCAATATTTTCATAAGTCTCTTCTTGCTCCCCTAAAACCTCTGCTATTTATCAGCATCCATGTGGGGACACCACAGTGGTACAAAGCCTTCTCTTAGGAGAAGGGTCTAAGACAGAGGAACTATAACCCACCTAATTCTTATTTGAATCTACCTATTTTTTTACCTTTTATCTTTTTTTTTAAGTATCTTTTTTATGACCAAAGATAGTTAGTCTATGACTACAATATTCTGCTTGCACTCATGTTCAGTCAGTTACCTTCCATGATCATAAGCTGTTTAAGGCTCTCAGTCACATAGGTGTCCCACATCCTGTAAGTACAGCCTTTGTTCTTTGTTTCTAAGCCTAGTTCTGGCTATTTTATACATATAACCCACAATACGTGTGGTTTCCTGTTATCCAGCTTGCAAAAAGATTAATGTCTCCTTATATCAGCAGCTGCTCTATTTTTATTTGCCATTCTCTCAAAATTGGAGTAAGCTACAAACTTTGTCAGTGATTATTTTTGTATTTGCTTTCAGGTTGTTCATAAAAATGTTAAGTAATAGGGGAGCAGGGTAAATTCTTAGAAAGCAAGCCACTTGATGTTCCCCCATTCACAAGTCATTCTGAAGATGTCCCTAGCCAGTGTTAATCGATATTAAGTTGATTCTGTAGTCTGTTTCTTAATCAAAATAAATTCCAAGACTGCTGCCTTACTGAAAGCTCCATTGTATGAACAGCATGAGCTTTATGAACCAGCCTGATAATCACTTAAAGATACTTAGTTTTCCATAGTACCAAGTTGATTCATATTAATTCTTGTTCTTTGATTTTACTCTGAATCATTTTCCACATTATGTATTCCATTATTTTAATGCAGATCAGTGTCAGGCTCACAGGCTTATAGTGAACTAGTCATCCTTTTCAAACTGGAACCAGAGTATTTTTTCAGTGTGTGCGCACGCACTGGGGATGGAAACTGCTCAGTGATTTGGGGCTTCCTCAGAGTTCCAGGAATTGCTGAAAAATAACACTAAGCATCCAAAGTGTTTTTCAGCCAGCTCTTTTACAACTCTTCACTGCAAGTTATCTGGAGTTGCTGATTTGAAAATATGGGTGTTCAGTAGGTGCTGTGTGACCTGCTTCTCAGCTGATGAAACTTTTCACTCCAACAATATCAATAGCCTATTTCATAAGCTCAGATCTGAATATACTAAATATTTTTACCATTTCTGCATTGAGGGGCAATTCTATCTATTAATTAACAATACATTGTTAGAATGCTTTTTGTTCCCAATAGTCTTTAAATAACTTATTCATACTATCCTTTATTTTGTTGGCCATGCATCCCCTTGTCCTTTATCTTACTATTTCAGTGTTTTCAAATTTCTAATATTTTCATGTTCAGTAAATACTGTGAATGGTCCTTTCTTTCAATCGTTATTAAAATCTTAAAGCTGTTTTCAATTTATAAATGAGGTTTTTTAATTACTTTTTAACTACTTTGGCATTATTTTTGGATTATGGGACTATGTTTTTGAGGGGTATCTACTAAAATAAATAGTGCAATCATCATTCACTTTTTTAATTATTTCCCCTCCCATCTCAAAATACTTTGGCAAAATACTTCGGCTTTCAGCTATGTAAAATTCAGCCTTCTGAAGTAATCGCCATGCCTGCTGCTGGTTTATATTTGATTCTGGTTATGAACAATAAATATGTCTGAGTTGCACACAGCTGTGTATAAGCTGATGCTAATTTTTACTTACATGATCATTTCTTCTTTAGCTGCTATAACGGCATCTAGTTTAGACTGCTGTGTATTGAATGTAATGCTTGTTGAGTTAGAAGATTGTCATCTTAGTATTTTCTGACATTTTTGTATTGCCAGCATGAGACCTCCAGGTAATTTGGCTCAGATTGAAGCTCTTG